CCCCCACCCATGCCACTACAGTTTTGGGATGCACCTAGTAGCATGACATTTATTAGGAATAAAGACTTCTGAGTTCTGGTGCATTTGTGCATGCGGGGGTCATTATGTTACCGGTAAGACGCATTATGTAATAATTTTTTATATATATTGCTTAAGAGCAACCAAGGTGACAAAACTTTGTGGACAATTTTAATCACTTAACAGTAAAAATTTTACAGTAAAAATCAAATCAAAAGAAAACATAAAACCAGAGGGATCACGTGACCCCTTGACGACAATGCCTGCTTAGCATAGTGCTCCACTCATACAGTTTTTTTTTGCTTATTCTAACACATAAATCGGACATTTCGACACCTATCTCACTATGAACACCTCTACTACCAAAGGCTCACAAAAAAGGGATGTTGAAGAATCCTCTATAAAGAAAATTTTAGAGACTCATCCATTTCCAAGGAAGACCTCGACAAGGCTAATGGTATAAAGCTAGCACTTCAAGAGCAACAAAATGCACTCAATACTACAGTTGCCTCCGCAGTTAAAGAAGTTATAGACTCTATACTGGTTCCTGCTCTACAAGATATTTATACAGATTTACAGAAGACCAGCGAAGCAGGTAAAGACATCAGCAGGAAACTAGAGAGTGGCTAACTCCACTAAACGCACCCAAGATTGGGTGGATTCAGTGCAAACAGCTGCACAAAAAGATAGAAGATCAGTTATCGATCTTAAGAAACAGTTTGACCAACTCACCACAAAGCTGACAGATCCGGAGGACAGAAACCGAAGACACAACGTCAGGATTGTTGGATTACCAGAATCAACAGAAGGGTCTGATGCAGTTGGTTACCTTAAATCTAACCTCCCCAAGTGGATTCATCACTGAAGTGTCGCAACAACGACATCGAACGGGCGCACTGGCAATACGACAGTAGAGCCGCCATTACTAACAAGCCGCGCATTCTGATCTTCAGATTACTCAGGTGGCAGGACAGATCAGCTATTCTCAAAGGAGCATGCAAAGCATATCCAGTTTGGGAACACTACTCTCCTGTTCCTTCCCCACTTCAGTTCGACCACCACAGTAAAGAGAAAGAGCTTTGGCCCCATCGTGAAGAAGGCCAGGGCTATGGAGCCTGATCTATCCCTCATCCATCCCGTGCTGGTGAAAATAGAGCATGCTGGTAAGAAGATGACCTTTAAATCCCCTCAAGCTGTGGAGGATTTCATCAGCTCCTTGCCACAAACATCAAACCCAGCTGCAGCAAGGGAGAACAACGATGACCGTTACATGAGCAAGCATGATGGTGGTCATCAACAAGTACAAGATGCTAATCTGTTGGACAAGAATGATTAACTGCTAGTCATTTCTTAAGAACATGTTCTTACAGATCTAGGATAAAGTTTGTTTCCAAACCATTCAGTGCAAGGATATTATTATTAGATCAAAGGTAAATCCTTTCTTCATTATTATATTATCAGTTGTAACAAATTTTATTATGACCCCCGCATGTGAAATGGGAGTCATATTGTTTTTGTACGATTCATTTGTTTGTTTGTTTTTTCAGTGATTTTTGGTCAACCGTAGCACAAAAACGGCTGCACCAATCAACATGAAATTAGTCAGGACTGTAGATGAGTCCGACCTACACTGCACCAGCCAACGGTTTTATGATAGACCCCATATTTGAGGAGGGGGCTCCTTTCAAAGAGGGGGTGTCTGGACATGCAAAAATGCTTATAACTCAGAAACTGTTCAACACAGGAGCTTCAGATATGTTTTGTTGTTTAGCTCTGATGAACTTATCCATGAGGCCCACCAATCAGTGCCCCCCCCTCCCCCCAGACCCTCAATTTATCCGAAAAAGAGGTGTCTGTACATAAAAACTGCTTAAAACATCCTTCCCATGATACATTGCAGGTGGAAGCTGGCTGTAATATAAAGCAGGAAGTAAAGCTGTAAGAACATTTCCATATTTCAATTTTTCCTTGACATAAAATAAACTTTTATAAAGTTTATAATGTAGCACTGGAGAACTCAAATATATTGCTTAATTACAATTTTACTCCAACATTTCAGACATGAATATGGATGCTACGCTCTGCTATGAAGCTTAGCTGACTGCTTAGCAGACACACACACACACACACACACACACACACACACACACACACACACACAAGTCACAGTCTCGCATATGCACAAAAACAACAGCATGAGGTGGAACAACTCCAGATAAAAGTGATTATTACCACTCTGCGTGCTGTGCACAGGGGCGGACTGTTGTATTAGTTTACAGAGTTCTCCCAGGGCATAATCGGTGAGTCGATTTGGGGCAGAAGAGGTGCTGCCATGCTCGGCCCTGTGGTCACAGCAGCACGCGTTTGTTTTGCAGAACCACAATAACACACCTCCAGCTGATCTGCTCAGAGCTCAGCTGGCCGGCTGCAGAGTGGACTTCTGAACTACAGATTATTAACAACAAACACAAATTGTTCCTGCTAGAACCACATAGGCTACAGAAATTCCCTGATTGTCTCTCAATTAGGGCTGTGAAATTAATTGAGTTAACTCTGATTAGTTTTAGTGCTGCATGGACATAGATTAAAAATTTTCATCGTGATTAATCGTGATTAAACTTTACAATCACTTTACTCTGGCTGAATATGTAGGTTTGTATATTGCAATGCACTCAGTGCATTCCAGGTCATGTTAGTAAATGAGAAATGGTTCTCAAACAGTTTACCTGGATAAATAAAGGTTAAATAAAGAAAATAAATAAAAAAACAGCATATTGCCTGCTTCAGACCTTGGGCTGAAAACAAAGCAAAGCACAGCTGTCCTGCTCTAAGCAGAGACTTTGCAACACACTAACTTCTTTCTACTAAAATAATGAATTGACCTCATAATGTTCATCTATTCCTGGTTACACCCCTGGAGGTGTTACCTTTTACATCAGATGTCAGAACGTAACTCATTTTTCTTTAGGCTGAAAGACAGAACATATGATAAGACACACCTACTCTTATTGTGTTTAAACTTAACGCTGCAATGATCAGAAAGTATAAAATACAATCCTGCACCTAATATTCAATTAATCAGTTGCAAAATTCCCCTCAAGAGGATAACATTATAATATGATATTAAGATCAGAAAAGTTTACCTCACATGAAATTGCCCCTTTAATTAATTGACAAGAAACCCAGTTTAAAACCTATAAATCATTGTCAATTCAGAAAGAATGTGTTAAGATCTGAACCAGATTGTTTTAGTAATTTTTCTATTACTGCAGAAAGAAGTTTATCAAGTTGCCTCAGTTGTTTTAAACCAGGTTGTTCGGCAAACCATTTGTGCAATGCCTGATTGCAGTTTATTAGCTCACCAAAGCTGGAGACTTTCCTCTGTCTCATTGTAGGTCAAGGCTTGTGTGCTGGACTGTGAGGTCCAGATGATTCAGATCTACCCTGAGGTCATTATGGAGAGGTCCATCCAGAAAAGACAGCTTGGCTCACCATCACAAAACAGCTTTCAGAACCCTCTGAGTCGGCCCAAACTTCTCGTTTGCGTAATCAAAAATCACATTTTTCCAAAACGTTTTTAGTCTATCTTAGGTTTCTTGTAGATCTCCAGTTTCTTTCGCTCTCAGCTAGTAGTCACAACAAAGATAACCCGGGGCCTCATGTATCAACGGTGCGTACGCACAAAAACCTTGCGTACGCCATTTTCCACGAAAAAATCCGGATGTATCAAAACTCAACTGAATGTGGAAATGTGCGCAGCCCCACGCCAACTCCAGGGCTGGTGTCACACGTTTCTGTGGCTTTGGTTCCGCTGACGACACTTAGAGGTGATTCTGAGAAACTGTTCATGATGTCAAAATGATTGTTGTTCACAGCAGACACACATGATTAACAATTATTACATCCACATGATTAACAATTATTACATCCACATGATTAACAATTATTACATCCACATGATTAACAATTATTACATCCACATGGATGCAGTTAAATAAAAGACGTCCAAAGTTGTGCCAAAAATACATTTAACAGGAACGGATTCAGCCTTACTGGAGGATATAATAAATAGTGTAACACGCAGAGCTTTTATTTATGAACAGATATAAATTTCCGATGACGAGTGGCTCATCAGCCCTTTTGAGGAAAAATCATTTTTCAGTTTGGCACTGCTGCGCTCTGGGAGCGAGTAGCCGCGTGCACGTGCAGTAGACGCGATTGAACTGGGGTTCCACAGGAGCTTTCCAGAGGGAGCTGGCAGACCCATCAGGACTGTGTCAGTCCAGTCCACCCAAAGCTGAATCATGACCAAGGGAATCATCTCATCCATATGATTCTAAAGGCTGAGTTATGGTCGCGCTCTGGAGCGTGCACCCTCGCCTGCAGTGGTGTTTCATAATTTGTGTTTAAGTTGTTGCAGATTTCTCCAAAATGACACATGGAAGTACACTTTACAACTTGTGAAAATACTACAAGTAGGAGAGCAAAAGCTGGACAGACAGACTGCACACAAAGGCTGTGCATGTGGAGACTCTCCAGCATCACGTCACATCATGTGAACTCTTCTGAGACGCAGAGACTCATTTCTTAATATCAGCTATGAAATAAACTAAGATCTATGTTCTACCAAACATTTAAGTTCCTCTGTGTTTACAGTAAGTATGGTAATAAACTCGTGCGCAAAGTTAATATTTTCAGACTCAGAATGGATGGATGAGCCGGTTGCGCAACACAGCAGTTTGTGCACACACACACGACACACAATCATTCGTTCTTTGCGTGGTTAACATATTTTATTCCTATTTTTGCTTAGGATTTTTTTCACACGCACTTTATATTAAATTCGTTATTTTTTTTGACATTAGAAATCATTTCTGATCTCGCAGGGATCAAACAAACGTGTCCTTCAAACATGCAGGAAGTAATTAGCATCTGTTTAACATATGTTAATGAAGGCGTGTCAGGGGAGGAGTCTTACCTGCACTCAGTTCCACGTTAATTGTGATGTTCAAAAGAAATGTACGTGGATTCCAGCGTACACACAGTTTGATACATCTGTTTTTTTTTTGTGCGTACACCGTTTTCTGGATTTGACCGTACGTCAGGTTTCAGTAAGAAATCCATGCAAGTCTTTGTACATGAGGCCCCAGGTCTCTGCCAGAAAAACGTAACATTTATTTTGGGAACACCATTATGTTGGCTTAGACAGTGGCTTCAACAACAGACTTGCTTCTGGCATTTCTTTTCCTGCTCAGAGAAAAAGTAGAAAAAAAGAACAGTCAGTTAAGTTAACACTGGATGCTAAAATTACATGACAGTTCAGAAATCATCTTCAGATCACAGTATAATAATACACACTTGTACACTAATAAACACTAATGACCAGGAAGTAATGATTAGTTCTTCAGTAACTACTTGGAAAAATGCCTCACTTTAGGGTACACAAAAACCGGTAATGGTCAGTTAATGATTAAGTAATGGTTAATACCCATTAGTTCCTGAGTGGTTTTTTATTGTTTCCCAGGTAACTAACCAGTAATCTCCTAATAAGGATGGACTGTGTGTTCCTCAGTAAGTACTGGTCAACTACTCAAGTAGTTGACCAATTGACCTTGGTCTTGATCTTCCTCCCGCACTTCCCTCCTGTTCCCGCTTTGCTGATGTGAATCAAGTCTTCCTCCTTACTATCATTCGACAACTGGGATTATGGATCTGGTCAACTGGTCTCTGAATGCAATTAACTGGTGTCAGTTTGAGATTGGAGCGTGGGGAGAGTTCTTGCCCCTCTGGAACAGTGGCCGCAGGGCATGTTTCAGCAAGTTGGGGGAGCTGGAATTTGATCTGCCTGGCGCCTCTCTCCATTGAGGATGTCGAAGATGTTTTTATATTTGGCTTCATGATAATCGGATTCCTGCTGTTCGGCTGTGGAGGAGTTCTGGTTTATCAGAAAATGAGGATGGCACTAACGGCGATTCGGTCTTGTGAGAAGCTGTCTGTGTCCGTGGATGGAATCTCCCGTACGGTGGGCACACAGACTCAAATAATGGGAGAAGTGAATCACAAACTGGATGTGCTCCTAACTAGGATTGCAGCTCAGCGGCACGAGGAGTGAGGGCAACATCTGGGTGAAGCTCATACAGAGAGAAGCGAGATGGTAATTAATCTGGAATATTTGGCATTTTTCGCAACACAGAGACACAGTTAAGACTCTAAATGGCAGTGAAAAGTCTTTCTTCTGTTGTTCTAAAGAATTCCTTTTTTTCATAATTGGATGCCCACAGATATGTCCTTGAGCACAGGCTGATAAGAAACTCCCTGACGAAGATATGCATGGATGGCAGCCTCGATTCTCACCCCTCCTCTCCCCATCCCCTATCTGTGTCTGGCTCCTGATGAGGTCACGCCAGAGACTGAACTCTGAAGCAGAGAACTGAACTCTGGGAAACTGTTCGATTGGTAACATCTGGTTGGACTCTGGAGGTCACTCTGTCGGCCCAGGCACTTGCCCTTGACGTCATCGTCTCCTTCACAATCCCTTACCCGGTCCATCTCCTGAACCCCACCCCCATTGCTTTCCCTGCTTGCTGCTTCTACTCTATCAGCAGAGTCGTTTTTTTGTGCGATGACCGTGTGTTTTCCTGTATGTTAAACACAAGATAAAAGTTCTTTTTTTAACTCACCCTTCCTATGTGTGTGTATTATTGTGCACTACCTTAAATGCTGTAAGGTAGCGCACGTTGTTGCGAATGACCGTGGACATTAATTCTCGCATGTTGTGTGTTTCTCTCTCCGGACGGATGTTCAAAACTGCAGATTTCGTTCTGCGTTGCATCTTGATGTTGTGTTTGAATGACAATAAACAATTCTGATTCTAGTTCCGGAGTAGTTCCTCTTGGTTTCCCAGGTAACTAACCAGTAGTCCCCTAATAAGGATGGATTGTGTGTTCTTTAGTAAGCAATGGTCAACTACTCAGTAGTTCCTGAGTAGTTCCTATTTGGTGTCCTTGTTAAGATTTTTGCCTGCCTTCCCAGTCCTGCCTCTGTTTTTGTTGTTTTGCTTTCCACAGTTATTTCTCATGCCAAGTTCTCAATCACCAATCTGCTCCTGTCACAGCCAGTACCAATTACTGATCCACCGCTCCCCTTCCCTCCTGCAATCAGCTCATTCCACTCACTTGTTCCCCTCAGTATGTATTCCTGCTCTCACCCTCACTTCCCTGCCACTTTGTCGTCAGACTTGTACTGTTACTCACCAGCGTTTCTTGTCCTCATGCCTTGCTTTCATCTTGTGGTCCTGATCCCCTGCCTGTCCTTTGGTCTCCTGATTCTTGCCTCAGCCCCTATCAGATTTGTCCAGCCATCTGTCCTCTTGGTTTTGACCCCAGCTCTGTGTTTTGGATTATCGCCTCTTGTCTCTCCCCTTGCTGGCATCACTGCACCTGAGATCACCTGGTTTGTGACCCATGCCTGTCCCACAGATTTTTGGACTCAGCTCAGCTCCTTGGTTCTGGTAAACAAAGCTCTTTTTCTGGATTTGACCCCTGCCTGTCCCCCGACTCTGCCTTTGCTCAACCAACCTAAACAGTCAGCCGATCTTTTTGGTGACGTCAAGATCCAGCACCAAATCCACCTGGATACTAACTGTAAACTGCCTGACCACTACAACTAACACTAGGTCAGTGGTTGTTTTTCTTCTGAGATTACAAACCCAGTACTGTTCTGCCACTAAAACCTTCTCTCTGTGTCCAGAAGTATCCAGCCCAGTACCAGGCTCCTGCCAGACCTTCAACCTTGACTCATTGTTGCTAAATAAATATTTAAAACTAGTTTCTGTGTTTGGTATTTCTTCAGAGCTCAAACTAAGTGTCTTAACAGTCCTTACGAATTACTCTGTAACTACTCATTTGTTGAGTCGTTCCTTTTTGTGTAACTTCTTGTAAAGTAGTACAGCACAACTGATCCCTGATGATCCACATAACATGCAGCCTTTATATTTACTGTAGATATGTACCGGTACTGAGGTGTTCACTTTTTCATTTAAGATTTTTTTGTGCTTCAGGCTAAAAGCAGCAGAAGAGAACTTCCGACAAGCCAAGGAGAAGGCTTCCTACAGTGTCAAACCCAAACATGCTTCTGGCATTGTAAGTTCAATTTAATTTCCCCATATTTAAAAGTCAGAAAGTGATTAATTATGATTAATTATTACATCCACATGATTAACAATTAATACATCCACATGATTAATTATTACATCCACATGATTAACAATTAA